TGACATCACGGAACGTGACACGTGCATACATGTTGGATACATATCACTAATCTCTGAGTTTAAATCCGTATGTGTCTACACAGGTTTGATAAATTTAGATTTTAAATTTTTGTAAGCACAGTTTCTTTTATGTGCCTAGTATAGAATGTATAGAGTATGTCGCGTATTTTAAGTATTGTATTTGGTATGAATACTATGCTGCTGTAGTAGGTTTCTCTGCCCAGTGACAGTTTAAGGTGGCTATAATAGGGGTTTAGGACCTTGCGTTGTGTACTTTTTTATGTGGTGATGGTAAAGTAGCCAACTTCAAATAGGCTCTATGAATCAGGCCTCATTGCTGGTAAAAACATAACAAACAGACAAGAGAATAATTTATTTTCAAAAACCTAAACCTATCCTAACCTAACCTAATCTACTCCTAACAGTCTAACTTAACCCGAAACCCTAACGAGACATGGCTCTGATTTCAGAGCCTATTTCCAAAACAAATAAATATCTTAATTTCCTATGTAACCAAAAAGCCTATATACTTGGTCTGGATTACCAGGACTCAAGCAACTAAAATAAATGTCCTCACCTCTGGGGAACCAGTGGACTAAAGACAAGGAGTGCTGTGAAGCTACTCCCTTTATAGGGCTAGAAGCAGGCAGTGTATGTGCTGCACATGTCAGGCACAACCTGCCAAGTGTGTTGCGGCTATGCATACCAGCATAGCCGAGAACACACTTATAACCCATGTTATATATTAACCCAGCCCCAAAACAGAACTCAAACTTTATCTGAAATATCCTAAACTACCACACTGTTTTGTGACTATTGTAGTTGGTATTGTTGGGTTGGTATGGTCATACTCTTGCCAAGCGAGCTGATACCCCAACACTTGCGTTTGAATAATAGTACTAGAATCTGTACTTCACTTAGAAAGTGTAATCCCAACTATAACACGTGTTCAGTATATTTGATGTTACTTTAAGTGACAATACACCAAGCAGTGTTGTGCTTGCTGGGTACATGGCACTGGATCTCCATCTCAGGTAGGTATCCTCCATGTTGGTTGTTAATGACGTCACGTGTACGCACACTACTGGTGTTTCCCCGAGGAGCTGGCATTCTGCCAAACACTTGAGTCGGGCAATATTTAAGCCGTTTACCCGGCGGCGAGGCAGTCGTCTTCCTAGCTGCGTTCTGCATACTTGCACGATGGAGGTATCCACTGTTATATTCTTCAGTCTGCTGTTGTGTGGTGTCAGCGACGTACAGGCTGCTCGCAAGCGTACGACATTGGTTAAACGGGTCCGACAGAACGAAATTGACATCAATGTATGGAAACGTTCAGCTGCTGATATTACGAATAAAATGTTTGCCAACCTTAAAGACCTGGAGTCATCACTAAAGGAAGAACTGATTGGTACGTTCGTCCCTCCGTTAATAAATAGTCTAGTAAAACAAGCCCTGACCGACATCCTGACAGAAGACTTTATCGGGCATATCATTAGCGGACATGTCCTTGATGAGGTTCAAAGTCTGAAAGCCAATGTGCAAAACACGAAGACACAACTTGAAGCACTGGCACAACAGCTGAGACGTGTACAACGGGAAAGAGACACTTACAGAAAGAGTCTTCGAAAACAACGTCGCAGGGTGATCAAAGACATCCATGATTTACAGCTGCAGCTGAATGAGACGGCAGCTGCCCTGCGTGATGCCAGGACCACGACGTATCCTGGAACTACAGCAGGTGAGAGATTTAACAAGGATTAGGCGCTTAATTAACGTTCTCTCTTGACTTTACAACCGAAAGATACGAGAATAACGTTATTATTTCGTTTGAATTTAGTCAATGTTTTTACAGTCATATTGCACACCTACTAAGTATTGTCTTCTGCTTTTAAAACAATATGTCGGAGGTAAACTGTCTGTGTTTTTAGTGAAACCTTTCATTTCCGAATGTGACAGTGTTAAACTACCCTTATTTCAAATGCTTATTGACCAATGAACACACAGACTGTCATTACAGGACATGTCAACATAGGGTTCACACAACTTGTCAGTTTATTTGGTCATGGAAACATATTTATTGTTCATGCGCATTGATTATTGGGCATGAAAATGTAATGTTGGTTGGACAAATATTATATTGGGTATGTGTGCATATAGGTTATTGGGTATCTCAACGGAGATTGTATTGAGCATTTGAACATAAGGTTACTAGGACATGCCAGTGGTGGAAAAGGGGACAACCTGGGGCTTACAAGGCATGTATGTATACGTTAGGTTAACAGGTGATGCCAACATAGGGCTTACAATACATGTATACGTTGGGTTAACAGGTGATGCCAACCTGGGGCTTACAAGACATGTATACGTTGGGTTAACAGGTAATGCCAACCTGGGGCTTACAAGACTTGTATACGTTGGGTTAACAGGTAATGCCACACTGCGGCTTACAAGACATGTATACGTTGGGTTAACAGGTGATGCCAACATAGGGCTTACAAGACATGTATACGTTGGGTTAACAGGTAATACCAACATAGGCCTTACAAGGCATGTAAACGTTGGGTTAACAGGTAATACCAACATAGGCCTTACAAGGCATGTAAACGTTTGGTTAACAGGTAATACCAACATAGGACTTACAAGGCATGTAAACGTTTGGTTAACAGGTAATACCAACATAGGACTTACAAGGCATGTAAACGTTTGGTTAACAGGTAATACCAACATAGGACTTACAAGGCATGCAAACGTTGGGTTAACTGGTGATGCCAACACAGAGCTTAGAATACATATCGAGACATGGTTTAGAGGTTTCCGTGCGTCTGTTTTACTTATTTCTGTTGCCGTGTTTCTCTATGTTACCTGATTCAGCGTTAGAGACAGATCAGGCAGACATCAGACAGATTACGAACTGTATTTCAACTCTGCTGTGTTCGCACTGAATTATACTGTACCTGTAGATTTCTGGGTGAACGTACTAATTCAATTAGGAAGTGGACACCTGATTAGACTTGAACTGGTTTCGCCACTTCTGCGACCAAAGTATTACTCCTATTCCGAGTATTATAACTTGCTTTCAGTAAAATAGCCTCGACCCACTCGTCAAGACTTGACCTGATGTTGTCAGGTTTCATTTCCGACCTGTCCAGCACAGCCCCAGTCAACTGAACACTGCACGTTTTATGTTTGCGTCATTATTACCTTAGAAAGTAAAACATTCTCTGCATGGTAGAAACCTGAACTTCACCAGATTATTTCTTTGCTTGTCCACAAATGCCAATATTTGAGGAATGCCCTGGTAGAACCTCGTTTGGGATTGCCCTTTCATGATTGCCACCACACCACGTAGTTCTTCAAGAATGGGAGGAGGTTAGGCCGGGGAGTCAGGCAGTGCAATTGCAAATTGGGTATTCCGTTTTTAAAGGACTTCACTAATTACCAAACTACCTGACTGCAGAGGTATATATGCCGGAAATCTTCTGAAACATATCGCCAGGTTAAAAGCACTATTGTGTGATGTCATGATTACCGCTGCAGCTTACATTAACAGATTACAGCCACAAACTGATGTTTTACTTTCATTACCCAATAATCATGGCGTGCAATAACAGGCAGCTGACTCAGACCATGTTATTCTGAATGGGCGGACGACTTATGGATACTGCATCTGAACATAAATATCTCGGTATGTATTTCACACCTAGACTGGGTTGAGGAATAACTTCTTTGATTGGCATTCTAGAAGTTGAGGCGATGAAGAATCAGGACAAATTTTTATGAAAATACAACATCTTTATTCTGTGTAGGCGACGTTTCGACATAGGTTCTATGCTTGACAACGACATTAGAAACCCTTGTCGAAACGTCGCATGTACAGAATAAAGACGTTGTATGTCCATAAAAATTGTCCTCATTCTGGGGAATACCTGTTTACACTTAGCACAACATGCTCGGAAAACCAATTTGTTTTTCAAGACTACCGTATTTCCTATAATAAGCGCCCCCGGCGCTAATATTGTCAACGGACATCCAGACCCGGCGCTTATTAGAGGCCCGGCGCCTATTAGAAGCCCGGTGCTTAATAGAGGAAATACGGTATATTTCAGTGTTATGAGCTCCATGTAAGAACATCAATGCTCTTGTTTGACAGAATGATCATCTAAGCCTCTAACGTCTAATGATATCCACATATAACGTGCATTGAAAGAGGACATTTATGCTTTTGTAAGCAACTATTGGGAGTTTTGTGAACAATCGGTGAATTCCTAATTTAGGGAAGAAGCCGATATGCTTATACAACTATTGTCCATGCCATGCCATAGGTAGCACAGCATATGTTGTAATATGTTGTTTTCATCTGATAAAACCGGAGGGCAAACTTGCGTCGGATATAAATATTTCCATACAAAGTTGTTAATCTTAATCAGTTACTTACATTTGCAGCGTCTCTGGATCATCAAGTAAAACAATACTTTTTCTGTCTTGTGTTGATATTGAATGGTGAACAAAGACGTTTCTTTAATGTTGAAATAGAAAATTTATTCTGTGAAGTATTATAATTAAGCATTGTATCGAAAGTTCAACCGCATTCATGAAACCAAAAATAGCTCTATTTTACCCACCTTACGAAAGTCACTTGTTTGTATGCAACTGCAACTCGAGGAATTCAGCCAATAAATATATAGCTAACCTGAAATATCTGTATCATTTTGGGCGTCTTGTTGCGTGATTTGACGAATGGAACAAGGTGAGTGAGCCAGTCAGGTTTGTCACATGCTTGTATGCAAATACCAAAGATGAATTCCCCCTTTCAGCCAATTAGAAAATAGCTAACCTGTAATACCTGGATCGTATTGTGACGCATCGTTGCATGATTGGACGAATGAGGTTGGCACAGTTTTGCTCATAAATATTAATTAGTTCTCATGCGACCTGATCGACAAAGGAACTTTAAAAATGTGGATGTATCGGGAGAGAAGTTCGTTTTGAAAACTGAATAATTCAAGGCCAAATTATTACTTTTTTATATAAATAGATTTCATTTACATTTTAATAGATATTTACCGTATTTAGAATTGTAACTTTGTAAACTTACAAATAAATATGCTAAAATTGATTCCCGTAGAGTTGATCGTATTTTGATATGTTTCTGAAGACAATATTATATTGTATAACTTCACAACTAACTTATATTATGGTACACTGACTGATATAGCGTTACTGAAATTTAATGCGTTGAACTTGATAACATGTTGTATGATAATATAATACCTCGGTTTAGTAGGTTTGCATTTCATACACGGACTATTTTTAATTTACCGTATATTGTCGGCACTATAATATTATACAGTAGATCATTCAAGCAGCTTTTCGATTACTAACACAAATAAAAACACCAAGCCCTTGCTTGAGAGAGTGAGTTGCTTTACTTTTCACAAATTAATGCTACAAATGATGCTGAACACATTCTAGGTGTGTAATGTGTTTAGATTCGCTATATCATTAATTCATGTAGCGTACAATGCAGACAGATCGCATATGCAAAATTTGTTCTCTTTAACATTCAACAAGTTTAGGAAACATCAACAAACGAATTAACTGTCTTGAAACTGGAACATTTTAGTTTAGATGAAATGCCTTTGACAAAACCTGTCAAATCATCAAATGTGATTGTCTGCAAACAGTTGACAAACACCGACCGACACTGTTGCACTGTTAAATTTTGAATTCTATTGTAATTTCTGTTCAGAAATATGAGTTTGTCCACATTGCCGGGCTTAAGACTTGCACGTTTGTCGGTTATCGTACTGCCCCAAGCACTGAAAACTTGCTCACTGGGAACAGACGTCGCTGGAGACGCCAGGTATTTTCCTAACAAGGGGGGCCACCAATTGTTTCCACCAATTTAAACTTGTGGTTTTTCCCTGTGGTGGATCCTGCGACATATAATGCTCCAGCTCGATGTTGACGATGTCATTTGGACGTTTATGCCCCTCCTCAACTATGACGACGGTGACATCAGAAAACCACTCATCGACAAAGTTTTCAGCTTCAAGTTTAATTTTCTTGCATGGGGTTGAAACCTCCAGTTCCTCAGGTTTGGGCTCACTGGTGTCCACAGGTTCTGGTTCAGTCTTGTCTGGTGGTAAGTTTGGCAAAGCTGGGGAGTCAGGTGTGGTAGCGGAGAGAATGGTTCTTCTTTTACAGCTACGACTTCAACAGCCTCTCCGACGATGCATTCTCGTGCCTCCTCCTTCTCTGTCTGACTGATGAAAGGTAGACTCTTATACCTAGGGTCCAGTATGGCAGACACGATGAGGTATCGCCTGATTGTTGGATCCATGTAGCGGCTTTGAAGATTGGTCAACATGGATTTCTTCACGTTTTTCACGAGAGTGTTGTCGCCGTCGCTGCTCTTGAGATTCATCGCCAGTTTCTTCACTACTGGCAGTATCCTAGAGACTGACGGATTCGGCTGATCACATATAATAACAGTGGCAGTTTTGATTGGGCCTAAAACCTTAATTAGGTCTTTAACATTTTCTTGCTCTGACGCTGATAGCAGATAGGTACGCGCGTCCTTTTTGATCAGAGGATCTGTAAAAGACGCGTGTATTGCCGCCGTTTGCTCTGTGAGTCGGACCATCATGTCATAGGTAGAGTTCCACCTTGTGTCCACGTCTTGCAACAATTTGTGGTCAGGTAAGTCGAGCATTTTTCTCTTTTGTGTAAGAATAT